ACCGACGGACTTGAAGAACGCCAGGGTGAAAGGGATGTTGAACCCTGGGATTTTTTTATTTATTTATTCATTTTTTTACTCAGCAGAAGCTATGGGAAAAACAAACAGTGTTCAGTGGACTAACAACGGTAACTTTGCAATATTTTTATCTTAATAGTTCATCACTTATGATGAAGAAAAGAACCACAAGAATGTAACAGCGTTGCCTAATCTTGTGAACTTGCACGTCAACGGCCATGAAAACTAAATTTATCAAGGTGAGTATATGGAAAAGCTTGAGGCGTGACAGGACAACAAAGACTTTGCGTGAATGATTATTTTTGCCAGGCTGAAAGACTGAAAACAATCAGAGAAATTCAACAAATACCACAATTATTACTTCAGCCTTCGAGAATGCAGAATTTCAGCACAACTGTTCATTTTACGGTGTCACAAAGGACGATGTGGACCTGCAAGGGCTTCGGTGACTCATCTCACACGAGTGTGACAGAGCAGCTACAGCTTGCCAGCTAAGCTAACTGAGACTGTCCATGACTAGGGGGCTGCATGACTATTTTCATCAATATTGTAATCACAATTATGAATCCTAATTACTCCTTTATGCTGGGGGGAAACATCCATCCATCCATTTTCCGAACCGCTTTATCCTCACAAGGGTCGCGGGGGGTGATGGAGCGTATCCCAGCCGTCTTCGGGCAGTAGGCGGGGGACACCCTGAACCAGTTGCCACGCAATCGCAGCACCCATTCTTGCTCACACTCACACCTCGGGACAATTTCGAGTGTACAATCAGCCTGCCATGCATGTTTTTGCAATGTAGGAGGAAACCGGAGTACCCGGAGAAAAGCCACGCAGGCACGGGGAGCACATGCAAACTCCACACTGGAAGGCCGGAACTGGGATCGAACCCATGACCTCTGCACTGTGAGATCGACGCACTAACCACTACCAAACCGGGCCGCCGGGTGGGGGGGGGCACATCTGTATTTTTATTGCAATACTTGACTGAAAGCATGTTTTCATGCAAAATGAAACAAGAATAAACGATGACTAATACCAAAATAACATTTACCCAAGAATTCAAAATTCAACAAGGGCTGACTGAGTACATCTGGTATTATTTGAACGTTACACCCCCTGAATCTGAAACCAGATAATGGGTATTGATTCGAGTGTGTAGCAGTCAAAATCAGGACCACGATTAAAATTTGATTCATTGTGCAACTTTTTTCAAGTGGGTGCAGACCTGCGTGAAATGAGTGAAACCAGTAAAACTGCGAGATGGAGGCTGAGCCAGTCGATAAAGATTAGACTGTCACCACCGTCTTTTCAATACCTTTGTTCTGGTTCTATGTTTTTGGGAAGTAATCTAACTCTGCAAGTCACCGCTGCCCCACTTACACTGCCTGTAAAGGCTGGTATTTTCCCGCCTACTACGTGACGCTATTCCGTATAAAAGTCCAGCTGGCAGTTTTCCACATTCTAAGGTAGAATCAAGGCCAGAGCAAGAGATGGAACACTGACTGTGCGAAAGGATACTCTGCAATGCCAGGACAGGGGCTGTGAAGTTTAGCTTTCAGTGGAGTAAGCTTTCAAAATGCTGCTCCTGTAAAGAATCGACAAAAAGCTCAATGAAAAATTTCGACAAACACCATGCGATCATTGCCCAGTGAGGATTGCAATCATTTTACCCTGGCATCATAATCCTGACCTTTGAAGCAAAGTCATCTGGACCTTGCACCGAGGGCCTAATCGAGTGACTTGTCGCTGAAGTTACAGCCGGTTAGGAGGAAAGCGAGCTGTAGTTTGCTACTGCTCTCGTAATGGGAGCGCGACCAGCTGACAGTCACGTCTCAAACAGGAAGCATCAAAATGCCTCGTCCGTCTCACTGCTTGATGACGGTTGTTGCGCACTTGGACGTCAGCACAAAGAATTATGTTTTTTTTTCCCTCAGAATGCTACTTGACAGCCTCACAGAGTCAACTAAAATGGGTCACATTCTGAAGAACAGAATAAGTGAAGCGACAAAGCCATACTCCATGTAGCCTATCACAAAGTAGCATGTATGTGAACTTAATGCTAATTCATATAAATGGGAAATTTTGAATAATATTAAAAAAAAAAAAATAGGGGGTGGCACGGTGATCACATGGTTAGCACGTCAGCCTCAGAGTGCAGAAGTGCAGGGTTCGAGTTCCAGCTGCGGCCTTCCCTGTGTGGAGTTTGCGTGTTCTCCCCGTGCCAACGTGGGTTTTCTCCAGGTACTCCGGTTTCCTCCCACATTCCAAAAACATGCATGGCAGGCTGATTGGTAACGCCAAAAGTGTCCCGAGGTGTGATTGTCATTACGAATGGTTCTTTGTCTATGTGTGCCCAGCGATTGGCTGGCAACCAGTTCAGGGTGTACTTTGACTACTGCCCGAAGACAGCTGGGATAGGCTACGGCATGCCCGCCACCCTTCAGAGGATGGATGGATGGATGAATGGATGAAAAAAATGGCATAAGAATACTGCCATACAACTAAAACTGAGGCATTTTTTCATATTGAGAAGAGAGAGTCAAAATAAAAACACACAATTTATACTTAGTGCTCATCTGTGAGTGACATTGTACGCAAACATTGCATGAGGTCCATGAGGACTTCTCTTGACCAGTCAGGTTTTCTCTGTCAAATATTTATAGGGGCTGAAATGTTAGAAGGCAATCTTCTGGGCGAGTAGCAGCAGCCCCAGCGCAGCACAGCGTTTTCCACAAATTCAACCAGGGCCATGAAACTCTCTTTTCTTTTGGGCCACAATCATAGCTATGGTTTCCTGCAGGATGCTGGTGTGACAGTGCTGTCCGTTGCTTTAAGAGTGAAAACACCGCAACATCGTTGCTAGCTTTGTTAGGCTATCTAGGGCGCCCTACATTGTGTGTTAGCATCAAGCTAGCGGACTTTCGAGCAAAACGTTACGTGGCATATTTTGATGAAACAGACATGATGCAATTCTCTTTTTAAATACAGTGGAAAAATAGGTTAAAAAAAGAACCTCTCTTTTTGTTGTTTGGTCAAAATCTGCCAAACTGCTGCTTGCTGCAATCTAAGCTACTGCCATGTAGCACCCGTGACTCAAATTTATACTCGCAATTGAAGAAAGAAAAAATATATGTTTAAAAATCATCCGGGCAATGGATTCTCCAAAAATCTACAAAAACAAAGTGTAATTTGAAATCAGAAGTCTTATAAAAAAAAATAAATAAATGGAAAACACATATTATACACCAACTCTTCATTTTATGTTCAGGAATATAGTAAAAATATTCATTAAATTGAAGGGAAAAAATACCAAAAAGCCCATTAAAGAACATTTGGGGGGAAAATGTTGCATGGGTTGATGAATTATGCTTCTTTACATCCACGTGGTATGCTTATTTGCGCTTTCGCTCTCATGAATAGTGAACTTCATTTGCTTCGAGCCGAGCATCTTTAAGTTAGTTTTTTTTAAATGTAAACATGCTCCAATTAAGAGAAAACTGAAAGTGATTGTGCTATTTGGAAAAAGTTTGTGGAAAGTAACTTACGCTAGGGCTTAATTGATCAAACTATTTTTTTCAATTTAAAAAAGCGTGATTAAATCAATTAATTATTAAATTCATTATGATTTTGATAATCGATTAATTTTTTAGATACATTTTTCAATTTCAAATTGACCAAATGTTTGGAATTTCAACTTTTCAATGGTAAAGATCTAATTTCTGTAAGCCTCCATGAAAAGTGTACTGATCATCTTTGTGTTGATTTGCTTCGACCATGGAAAACATGGAAAATAATGATAAACATTTTCTGATGGATGTTACGGACGAAACCAGTTACAACCAGTAAGAAATCGTAATTCATTCATATTGTGCATTTTCTGCACTGTCAATTTGAAATAACGTCATGATTTTTAATAAAGGGATGGAAATAAACATGTTTCTAAAATCCGATTCATCAACTGACAAAACAATCACCTGACTGATTATTAAAATCATTAGTTGCGGGGTTGAAAAGGGACAATTCCGCCAAGTTTCAAATAATGTCAGTGTAATTTGCTTTCTCTTTATATTGAAGGGGTGGGAAATCAATAAAAATTCAAAATCAGACTTTTTGTGGAAAAGAAATATGTGCGATATCGCCCAGCCCTAACCTCGACTAAAAAAAGACTGACAACGTACCTGCTGCTGCATACAAGGCAGGAGAGATCTAGAACTGGCCATGCCATTTAAAGGCACAACACACAAATGTGAGATTTTTACCAGAATTACACTTAAGAAAAGTCGATTACATTTTTGTTACTATTTATTTGATATTTTTTCTGTTTAAATGAAAACATTGTAATTTAGTGCTTGCTGGAGAGGAGGGCTTGGAACTGATGAATGGCAGTTCCATTCATTTAATTGGGGAGGTTCGTGTTGTTTCGAGAAACGAGTACTTCGAGTTACGAAACGTAACGAATGAAACTCGTAAGTCAAGGCACCACTGTACAGTAGCAGTGTTATATTTAAGAATCTCCCACTGATGGTGCGACCACTTGCCGGGTGCTTCATCAGATTGTTTTGACGGCTTAAACTTTCCAGAAACAACTTTGAGTGAAATATATTTCACAAACTAATTGGGGAGAGGAAGTAATCCACTAATAAAATAAAATAAAATAAAATATGACACTCGAGTGTCCCGGTGGGGGTTTCAGACTCAAGTCTGGCTGTTGCTGGTTAAAAAAAGCTAGCTACCTAATTCAAGTCAAGCTGCTCAGTGGGGGGACCGAGTGGCCGCTAAACTCCCCTGGTGTGGCCGCCTGTCGGGGCTCAAGAGGGGGGTTAGCGAGTTGGAGTGGACCGACCGACCCCCTTCTACGCTCCAGCTTTACTACCGCCGCCGCCTGTCACAGCCTCGCGGATATACTTCCAACAAACCCCGCTCCCTCCCTCACCTCAGCCCCAAATGTCTCGTTTCACGAGGGCCGGGGGTACTCTTACCTTGCCGCCGCGGTAACCCTCGAAGGCTCTCAGCGCGCTGTCAGTGAGTTTGACGTGGAAAACGGAGACATTGCTGCCGTTGCTTACTCTTCCACAGGACAGCCCGTAGCTCCGCTCCTCTTTCAGCGCCGCCATCTTGGCTGCCGTTCCCACCGCCGCCGCTACACACTCACACACACGCGCACACACTCACACACGCACGCTCACGCGTGCGCGCACACACACGCCTACGCTCACGCGCGCAATACACAACACACGGACGTACTGGGGGCGCGCGCGCACGCACTTGGGCCGGAAACGGACAATTCCCGTTTCTTGACAATTGGGTAGTCCATATACTGTCGTCACGTTATGACGTCACGTCGGCACATTTTGATTGACACGCCCACAAAGAAAACGTCACTCCCATTGAGATTAATAAAGAAAACGATAAATACATATTTTTAAGAGTTTAGATTAAAAATGGGTTTGTAACCAAACTGGGAAACTAGATGGACAACACTCCATTGACAAAAACCTTTCAAACAGGTTGTTTTTTTGGTGTGTGGAGGACACATTACGGTAAAAAGCACTTCGTTCACGCAGGCTTCATTTCAAAGGGGGAGGTAGAGGAATTAGGTCATTCCAATTACGTCATTATAAGGTCCCCAGCAGTATGGAAACAGATTTTGTTATTACGCTAATTTGTATGATTCAAACCTAAATAAAATACAATTAGTCAAAACTACAATAAATATGAAATCAAACCTAAAAATGAAATGTAATAAACATGAAGTATTAAATGTGATTCAGCCTCAGTCAAAACTAGTTTCAAAAAGCTGAAAATTTGATCAGTAAATTCGACAACATAAATACTACATAATTACAAATAACATTAATCAAACATTAAAAACAATACCTACCAAACTCGTTCGAAATGCATTGTATTACAAGAAGCCAGCGTCGGAAGTGTCTTTGCACAAATAGCTCACATTATCACCATCCAATGGAATTCGTGTACAATACGGTATGTTTAAATGTTTCAGTTCGCAAACAAAAACTGCCTCAATTTTGACATATAATTTTGTAGGGTCCTAGAACAAACCAGCACACAGGTTTGATAACTTCAGGAAAAGTTTATTCTGATGAATATAAAATTAACACAGGAAAACTGTGACAAACTGTTGATGGAATATTTTTTAATTTAGGACACATTCAGTGTGGGTAAATTACAGAGCAACAAGCAGTGACGCTAGAATAAATTTAACACCTAAAAGGAAACAAAGTAATCACAATCCACCTGTGTTGGACTTGTCAACATTTGGTCTTCAACGGTCAAAACCTGAGGTATAAGTGACAAAAATGTCCAAAATAGGCTCTTTCTGCAGTGTCAAAACTTGGTGTAGCTGCACACCGCCCTGGTTGTCACGGCGATAATATGAGTCATCAATTTGTAATTATATGCGTACCGAACATACTTCACTTGCATCTTGGATTGACTTTGTTAATGAGATGACGACAAACGCGAGGTAGGACTGTTTAACCGCATTCCAGATCACCTCAGAGTGTTCTGAACGTTTAGCTTTGGATGTTTTGTCTCAGCACACCATACTTTGTACCTTATTCAACACACATTCTCTTTAATAAATACTAACTGAAAAGACTTGGGCCATTATTGTAGGGGTGGTTCTAAGGAAAAAGCATAACAGTGCACCCCCCCCATTCACAAAGCATAGCGTATATTAGGGATGTCCTGATCCCAACTACACGATTGAAAATTGGGCCCGATCACATCATTTTCACCTGATCGAAATCAGGGGGGGAAGAGAATACCATGTTTTTACTTTTTTTAAAATGTATTTTAATCGTCTACAAGGCAAGAAATAGAGGTACGCAAATACCCCCCCCCCAAAAAAAAACAAGGAAAAAAGTTTTATGCTACGCAACAAAGTCAGTAAGGGAACGTTTTGTAAGTTGTCATGGGAAACTTCAAAGTGCAACAGAGACTTGCAATGTGTGCATACTGTATTTGGTGTGCTGGAAGGGATGCAGCTGCATCCAAATCAGGTAACCCGGATGAGAGGGGGGAGAAAAAAAGAGGCGGTGAATGGCTTTTTTATGAATAAATGTAAATGAAGCTCCTCCCTTCATTTCAACATCACTTCTTGGCCGCAAGATACCACCCAAGAAATATTTTTATATTAGACACAGCTTTTGGCCATGAGCAAAAAAACAACAAATTGGTGCGAATTCAGCATTTATGTAGGAGGAAATTATGAGCTTTTTATGACTGTTACACGGGACCCTTTTGCTTTGCAGATGCAGCGGCCATTTGCTAAAAGGGATCATTATTAATTGGAAGCTGCAAGGTTTGTCAGCATCCGAATACACTTATGCAAACTCAAAAACTTCCCATGAACTCCTCCTCAAAAATCATCCCAATGACTCTACTGACATGTCCTCAGTGCCAGATGTGCTTATTTCTTGGTCCGTTCACTAGCTGACATACAGAAAGAAAGGAAAAAACCCAAAGAAAAAAGGAATGGGGGGGCTTCAGTTTCTGGCAGCCAAGACCACCGATAAGGCTACGCCGCCGATGGCAACCGCTGTGGCGCCAAATAACCACTTCCAGCTGAGACCCTGTAGAGGAAAAGGGGCAGAAAGAAGAGAGTGTGTCAATGTTAATGTTTATAACAACACAATGGAAGTAAATTGAAGTAAGAAGTTTTCATCCTTCCTCAGTAAAAACAAGGAAACAAAAAAAAGCCATGATTAGAGGATTGTTTTATGCATTACATTTTTTTTCATTAATCAGCCCATTTCGCGGTAACCAGTAGTTTTTCCCCAGCTTTTTCAGTATCACAAAATCCTTTGCAGTGGAGTCCTTGTGTCAAACGTTTATCTTGTTTCTCTGAATAAATCGGGTCATATTACATTATTCTTACACTACTCCCAACTGTCGGGCTGTGAATTAATCGCTGGTGACTCAAAGTGAGATGTGACTTGGGTGTAAAAGACTTTGTAAAGCTTTTTAGACAAAGTAGGGTGTACGTAGAGCGCTTTATAAGTGCATGCCATTTAAGAAAAATTAAATTATTTCATTTGTTGGAATAGCTAGTGGAGATTTCGGTTGCGAGCCTTTAGAACTGTGACAGATATTTATTGCTTTGGCACCATCTGGTGGCATACTGGTACCAAGGAAACAATTTCAAGTGAGTTGAAGAACTTCATTTAGACAAAAATAGTCCTTTGACACCATCTTGTGGCATCCACAAAGCAAATACAATCCCCTCTTGCATTTGACTGTTTTTTTTAAATCATTTTTTCAACAAATTGAATTTGAAATTTTAAGGCATGTCTAATAATGGAAAGCAAATATTTAGGTTTGTAGTATAAATATTGTCCAATTTAGGGATGTATGAAAATTAAGTGCTTGTATACCCTGTTTAAGCGAAGGAAGCTTTCCCAACCATGTGGTAATTATCAAAATGTCAAGAGATTCTTCCACGGCCTTTTGTAATAGTTTTGACATCATAGTTTTGATATCTGACTGGACTCAAGACACCTCAAGGGGACATCTCAAAGGGGCTCACCCATGATGACTTGATCCAGCGTTTGTGTGCGCCACTGTTGGCGGGGTTGCCCAACATCTTTTTGTACATGGCCTGCTCCGCTCCTCTCTGCTCCGAGTGTTTCTTCACCAGTTTCGACAGCTCCGCGTGGATGGTCTACAGGGGCACAATGGTTACAAATGAGCCAACGTGGATAATGGAAGTATATCAAGAGGACAAAGGACAGACGTTCATACTTGGATGGTTTGGAAATGATGAACGGCAAAGGAAATGTGGCCAGACATTTCTCCTTGATGCACAGACGGATGACGCAGAAGCTAATCGCCCTCTGCCTAGTCAACGGTGTCTTACAAAATTTAATAAAACTGTTCCCTGAAGTTTTACATTGATCGCTTATCAGCCATTGGATTGTTTAAGGCCGATATGAATAAAAACGGCAATTATCGGCACAGATAATCGGCCTGGCACACAAAAAACTAACCCACACAAGTACATAACACCTATACTCATTTACAATTGGCACGGTGAATGAAAAGCTGAAAAAGCCAAGTCGTGTCGGACAGATTGGTGTAGGACTGCATGGGGAGTATTCTAGCTCTGAATCACACATGGTCACCGAACCTTATATGTCCATCTGTGGGAGCGGAAGAACAGAAGGCACGAGATGGCAAGGCCAAACCTATTTAAAGCCACTCGAAAGCACATCCTCTGAAATGATGAATCAGCGACTCAGACTGAGGGTTGTGACCTTGTGGCGCCATCTAGTGGCCCATTACAGTGCTTTCAATTGAAAGGGATGAGCGCCAACTCAGGGAAACATTCCAAATACAGTCTAGGTGGAACTTCAAAGTGCCAAATCTTTGAACTCATCTCCTTGATCTCCACCTAAAATCGTACATCAAGGCTGTCAGTAAAAAATAAAATACAAAAATAAATCACGGCACTCATTGGCTATTGGCAACGTCATGCATTCGCAGATTTACTTAAAGGTTTGGTTTTCAAGCCCTACAAGCGTCTTGAGTTTACAGTAAGCTTGAGTACTAAAGAGTATTTTTTATACATTTTACGCTTGCAAATCTTAATAGGACTTCTAGGTTGGCATGGAGAAAAGACGGCTGCAGAGAGCTGAGTAAGCAGCAGTTTGCGAAAAATGGCGACCTCAAAAAGGCTTGCGCATTAGTTGAGGGACTAGCGGCTATTGTGAAGGAGATACTAAACCTCAAAAAACGAAATGACGGGAGGATCTCGACACTCAAGAATGAATTAAAAGAGTAGATGATACTTAAACCGCTTTACGGAGGAAATGAACTTAAGTGTCACAAAATGTTCGTAGAAACACAAGAGCAGCAGCAGGAGAAAGATGCCATCCTCGCTATGAAAAAGCAAACAAAACTACAAAAGAAGCTGACTGAAATGTATCTTGAGAACTTATAACTTGGCTCAACAGGACAACAAATCTGTGCCTAAAATTTGGGCCGGGGCCCTTCGTCAGAAGAAGGCCTTCCTGGAGGGAAATGAGCTCAACTCATATTCATCGGGAGCAAAGAAGTCTCGATAGGAAACTGGGAGCATCTCTGGGGTCCATTGGGGTTAATTTTCTCAAGTTTTCAACAGGGAATAATTCGTATCATCTGTAATTTACAGGAAGGTAGGTCAAAGACAACCAATGAATGAAAATATTGTTTTTTATAGACATTCCGGTGTTTTCATATTCAGATGTCTGAAATGTCCCAACAACCTAGTTTTCCGGATTATAGCATCGGGTGCACATTACCTTGTTGCTCGGTTCCAGCTTCAGTGCCTTTCTCAAAGTCTGAATGGCTTCTCCGTATTCGCCTTGTAAGGCCAGCACCTGCAGTGAGAATACAGCACTGTAACTGTCACAGCTTCAATGATGACAAGGACTCTGAAGTGAAAGTATGCGAAACGTGTTACCTTGCCCATGCGGAAGAGTGCTTTGATGTTATTGGGCTGGTGAGTGAGGGCGGCGACGCACGACTTGAATGCAGCCTCATAGTGGTCCAGCTTGAGCTGCGCCGCCGCCATGTTGTTCAGACACTTCACTTTCACGTCTGTCAACTCCTTTTCCTCCTCCGGACTTATGTCCACTGTCGAGACAAGCAAACACAGATGGCCATTCGATCTTTTTGCAGTGTGAGGGTCAACTTGTCACGCTACCTTTGGAGCTGGATTCTGTGATCTGCAGGGCGATGCTGTAGGAGTTGATGGCAAAAGCAAAGTCTCCGAGCTGATATAGAATGTTGCCCCTTTCTCTCTTTCCACTGGCCAGTGCAATCTTTTCCAGCGGAGGGAGCAGCTCCATGTCTGGTGCATCGCAGACTTTCTTCAGCTCCACTTCCAGGGACAGCTCAGCATTGGGTGGCACATCTGGGTCACAGCTAGAAAAATATATTGAAAATAGCATTTTACACAAGAAATGTGCATCATGCAATCTATTAGCAAAACTCTTGCCATTACCTTCCCCAGGTACCGTACGCATAAATGGCAGCAGTTTGGACGAGTGCCTTCTCGCCCATTTCCATGAGCAGCACTGCGAGATCCAAGGCCTGGGAGGGCAAAAATAACAACAATGTACACAGTATTGGACGGTCAGAGATTTTCTCATGAATTCCCATACCAAACTGAAAATAAATCAATTATAGTAGCGCCACCTAGTGGTCAAGAGAATGGATGACAGTTGTTTTCAACCCTTTGTCAAAATAGTGTATACAGTATGGAGCCGCTATGGTGACATGGGTGGGATTTTGTATTCCCTTGCAATCACTTATATAAATATTTGCGAGGGAACGCAGTTTTTTTGGAGGGAAGGCAAAGTTATTAGCGAGGGAACGGAAAAGGTGTTTTTTTTTTTTTTTTTACGTGTCACCTTGAGGGCTCTATAGTATAGTTCAGTCAAAATGGCAGGAGAAAGCATTTTTGTAAAATGGTAAGGTGAACACAAGGTAGAATTTTTGGAATAACACAGCAAAGACAAACCACGCTTCATCAAAATGGAATGAAATTTTAGTTCAAATTAGGAAGGATTAGAGACAATTTTAGGTCAACGTGGGAAACAAAATCTATCGAGTTTAATCAAAATCAAAGGAGAAGAGACTATTTGTCAAAACAGTTTGAAAATTAACATTTCGAGTCAGAATGCAAGGAGAGACCATGTTTCATCAAAATGCAATAAGCAGATGACATGTTTGATCCAAATGGAAGGGCATACATTTTTGGGTCAAAATGTAAAAAGGTGCTACCATTTGAGGGTAAGCTATGAGGAGTAAGCATTTCTCAGAAACCATTTCTTGTCAAAATGGGATAAATAATTTTTACTCAAAATGGAAGATGGAGTTAGAGCTGTTGGCCTATTAAGAAGCTCCATAAATTCCCATTGAAAACACCACCACATCAGTATACAGGCAAGTTTTTACTGTAGAGTACTGCTGGAACACATGAAACACTTGAAAGCAAATCACCTAGAGGTAGGTGTTTGAAGCCAAGCCAGAACAAATAGTACTCACTGGCCATTCATTACCTGGATGACATCGCCGTCACCAAGCGTAAATGTGAGCTCGGGCTGCTCCTCCACCAGCGTTCCATCCTTCAGGAATGCTTTAAGACAAATGGTCACGTTCTGTCCTTTCTTTGGACGACTCTCCCGGCCTTCGCCTGCTACCAGGACCTTTTTCTTCAGCTGCTCATTACCTAGGAACAAAATGTTTCATTACAATTACAACACATAACATTCTGTCTCAAACAGGAACAATTTCTCTGACTAGGCAGAAAAACAACACCAGCCTTTATCTCAGTTTTTGCAAATGTCCTTAACCTTCTCCTCACATTTTACAGTGACATTTAACACAATCTATATATTAAGGTCATGAGTTAATGTGCATTAAAATGATTTAAACCTGCACAGAAAAATTATCCCAACAGCGTAAATTCATTCTTAAAGCCCAGCACAAAAAGAAGAAAATACATTTTTGTTTGGCTGTCTGTAGTTTGGCTACCAGATATTCCCCATATCATCGCAGGGAACCGACGGCTGGCTTATCCCGATGGACGACTCACCCCCGTCTCCGCCCATACAAGTTGAGGCGACACAAATTTTGGCAACGTATAAAGTTCATCGTGTGGACCTGCTGTGGATTGTTTTCAGCATTTTTTTGGCCACGACGTTCGTCAAAGGAAAAGAATCTGTGCTTGGTGGTTGCGCCTTCTCGGCAACACGCTCGTACCAGCACAGATTTTCTCCAGTGCGTTAGCCGGTAGCCACGAAGCAAAGCACCAACCTAGCACATCCAGCCATTCCTGTGAGGCTTCTCCGGGGTCTGCCTCTTCGTTTCCGCGTTCCTCATGCGCGTCCTGGCCCTCCCCACCGCCGGCGTCTTCCAGAGGAGGGGGGTCGTCGTCAATGTCATCGTCATCCAAGACCTCAAAGTCTTCTCCGCTGTCGAGCAACGACGTCCGGCCGCTCTTCTTGGCCGGTGCCGCCGCGCTGCCCTCACCATCGACGACGTCCATGATCTTTCCCGGTCATAAGATGGAGGTGCTAAATGGGTTATGAAACGTTGATAGCAAATGTAATATCCCATATCAACACCGTGGATGGTGACGTCACAAACCAAGGACATTTTCGTGACGATTTCAAACATCTCGAAACGCTTAGTTTCTTCTCTGAACGTGCCCATTAATGTTTATTAATTAATAACTCAAACTAACCAAACGTGCAAAATACGTCACTATTTCTAAGCCTTCCTCACGTTTCTGGAAGTTTCTAGAAAGTTCTCTTACGGTCCCATCAAGGATAGCTGGCCTTGATGTAGTTGTGCTTGAAAGCTAACTGGCTAATGTCAGTCGTTGGCTCCAAATATATTAAAAAATAGCATGCGTGTAGCTGTGTATCTTACCTTCGAACACGGTCGCTTGTTGTAGTGGCAGCCGAACACTTCATTCAACTGACGGTGAAGTTATATCTATTTCAGAAATCAGCCAGCTTATGTGGGAAAACACAAGTAACAATTTCGTCAAAAGCCCCACTTCCAGTTACCCTTGTACTACCGCGAGACTTGAGCGTGGGGAAACAACGGCGGAGACAGTTTCAAAATAAAATCACGTGCACGTCTTTAAAGCGTCAAACCACGTTCCTATTCACTATAAAGAAGAAATATGATTACATTATTATGACACTGTTTGGGTGACGTTTAAATGACAGTCAGCGCAACCATCTTATTTTGAAATGGACTCGTATCAAGGCCTTGAGCCGCTGTGCTGAGAATAAATGGGTCGGCCGAATTAACCGGGTATAACTTGACATTTCATTCTTCGCACGCCTCATAGATGTACATAACAGCACTGATGTTTTTCGATTCCTATCTTTCGAGCTAATGTTACAAATTTGTGAAAACTGTACTTGTGAGCAACTTAAATCACAAAATACAATTTAGCCCACATAATCCTTCTCTAAAACAGTGACACACTTTCGTACGTGCTAGATTTATGTTTTTAATTCACCTTATAAGAAAACTATGAAATCAAATATAACTATTACGGTCATAATAATATACTAGTTAAAATATTATTGACTGTGTTTTAATAATTGTCACAAGTTGGATTTAGCCTGGCTGTGCATTGAGCGGATTAATAATAATAACTTTTTGATCCAGCAGTTAATTTCATTTAGCAGTTCCCAAACAGTTAAATGTTTATTGTTCGCAACAGAATTACATGACGTTACATTATTTCCAATGCGAAAATGTCTCGTGATCCACTGACTGTAGTATTTTGCAGAAGAGATTCAAACAATGAGGAAAAACAAATGACATTTATTATTGATGCATTTTTTCTTCTGATAAGCAAATTATCTGTCCCCCCCTCCTTTCAGTCTAAAGAAACTTTACAATATAAAGAAACATACAAAGAACATTTTTATTACCTACACAAGACATCTACGTCCCTAAGACAAGATTCCCAACTATCCTAGCATGAAATACAAAGCAAACCAGGAGACAGACTGCTTCATATTGAATACTGCAGCGCAGTTCATTTGGTGCATTCTGGGAGGAGTTGCGTACAATCAGTGTAGCGCATGTAAAATGGGAGGTGGTGGGAAGAACTGCTCCCCAAGCCCCGCCCCCTCCCACACTCAACATGACCAGCAGATCTTACTCCTAATGGTACAGTATTATACATCACAATAGAAGTACAGAGATGATCCATATACACAGAGGACTGAGAGCGTGTCTATACAGGACTCCATAGCAAAGGACACCGTTTTTTTTTATCCCGTCATGTTCATTTCAAAACAAACTCCTCTTGAGTGTTTTAACTGGCTAAAAAAAACAACAACAAATCCTTCATATTAAAAACTGCAACATGAGGTCGGATTTTAATGATTACCCCTAGTTGTCCCTGTACCCCAGAACGTTTTTTGTTTTTTTTGTGGTTGCTTTTTTGTGGACATTCAGCCACATGTGAGCCAAACAGTCAACAGGTGTCCTTGCTCCTCTATGACCCAAAAAAAAAAAAAAAAAACATGGACAGTTTCATTCAGAATTTACTCTCAGCTGTACTCATCGGTAGTGACTGACATATCAAAACATGTCCATGATATCAAAATGCATTGTACAGTATTTACAAAAACAGGGGGAAAAAAGAAAAAAAAATGAAGAAGAGGGATGGTACTCGAGGGAAGAAAGGGAGGGTGAATGTCATGTTGACTGGCGAGTGTCTCCCCCACCAGCTTCCTCTGGGAGCTAAATCTTGGAAATATCCACCCACCTATTCTGAGATTTTTATCCCTTTAAAATTGGGCCAAATGTACAGGAAGAATCATGTTACATAGGAGATTCTGTGGATTATGCTTACAGGTGTATACATCAAAAACAAGGGGGAAAAAAATGTATCACTTGGTTCTTTCTATCACCTTCATAATAGTCTGGATCAATGAACCTTTTTGGCCAATGTATGGAGTATTAAGGCCACACAAGAAAAAAAAAAGCTTCTACATGTGAGGAGAATGTAACATCCGAAAACACTGTTGTATTACGAGAATAAAGTTGCATTAATATGGGACAGAAGTGACGATATGATGGAGGCAGTTGTATTTCTGAACCCTTTCAGTGACAGCGGTTGCGACAGTGGACAGCTGATGATGTTATCAGGTTACAGGGTGCATGTAAGGCTTAGACAGACAAGTTGTAGTATCCTAAATGAAGTGTTTTTATTTTGCAAGAATGAAATTGTGATAGTACGAGTCAAAAGTCAGAATTTTGTAGAATTAGAATTTGTTGAGCTGTGAGGAAAAACTGTGACGATTCCAAGGGGAGAGTTGTCACAGAAAAAAAACAGAATATTATGAGAATGGAAGTATAAATATCAAAAAACCAAACGTGTTTTTTTTTTCTAGGAGGAAAAAACCCGAATATGGGAATAATGTTGCGATAGTGTGAGTACAAAGTTTCAGTTATTTTTTTTCAAGAAGTTGAAAACTGAAAATCACACACCAGTGTAAACTGACCCGATCCTCAACAGTTCCCTCTGTTGACACAGGTTTATGTTTTGAATATTATGACTTCATTCTCATCGTTTTATAACTTTATTCAAGTAAGATTATTATTTTGGTCAGAGCATTTTAACGTTTGTCTCTTAAAATTCTGAAAATTTTTGAATGAATAATTTCTTGACAGTGTGGCGCTAATACTCCTTTCACAATTGACTTCCAGTCCAAATAACAACGATAAGTCCTGAATTGAAAATAGGTCAAGTTGAAACTAACCAAAAAAACAAACAAACAGATTTGGGGGTGTAAAAAACACATTTCAAAGATTTACAGGCACAACTGTATGCATCAAAGAACAAAAGAACAACAATTGGGGTTAAATGTTTACACATAAGATCAAATCTGCTCATGGATGAATGGCTCACCTCGAAAAGACTCAACCTTGATTTGACTGAAGGTATATGTACTGCATGAAATGGGAAAACTGGAAACGTATGACCTCAGACCAGAAAAAAGCTGCTACAAGTCAAAGTTGCTACTTACAAACTTGGCGGAAATCACAATGTGCCTTGGATGTACAGTGCATATAAAAAGTCTACATATCTCTGTCCAAATCTGAGGGTTTTTTTTTTTTTTTGTAAGATAAAAACACCAATCTATGATAAGTAATTTCCAAACTCATTCGGCCACTAACGTGACATAAATCATTTCAATGTATTTATTTAGTTTGTTTATCTTTTCAACTTAAACAACTGAGGTAATATGGTTGCAAAAGTGTGCACACCCTCTTATAATTGGGACGTGGTTGTGTTCAGAATCAAGCAATCGCATTTAAACTCATGTTAAATGGGAGTCAGTACACACCTATCCCCATTTGAAGTGCCCCAGATTAACTCCAAATTAAATTCGGATGTTCCAGTAGGCTTTTTATATCCATGGTACATCATGTATGTATGTCATCATAATGTACAAGTATATCTATCTT